CGCGATGGTGGCATTCATTGAGTCGTACAACGTCAACACACATGACTCGTCGACTGAATTCCGAGCATGCGAAATGACCTGGGCAACGCGAGTGGTCAGTTGTTTGTGGCGATTGAAGAAGCGAGTGTACCACCCACTGGTCAGTGTCCCTGTTTGGTCCAGGCGTCTGTAGATCTGATTGGCCTTCACGATGATCGCCGCTCGGTCTGGTGGAAAGCCGTCCATTTGCATTCCAGCAATCCAGTCGACGAGATCAGCCTCGCACTGCTCGGGCAACACGGGCTTTGGTCCGCGCCGCTTGTTGGGCTGAATGGTCCCGGCCTTCGTGGCACGAACCTTTCGCATGACCGTGATGTAGGGTATCTTCGAAGTTCGTGCAACATCGCGTCCGTTCTTTCCTTGAAGGACTTCGGCGATGGCAAGCTCCAGGTCTGCAGGGGTGTATTGAATGCGGCGCTGCGTCACCATCAAAGCTGTGATTGGGATTTGTTTGGGATTTGAAACTCGAGCGTATAATTTACGAGAGGTTTGCCGCCAAAAAATATTGCGATGCGATTGGCTGATACGGAGAGATCATAAATTGGTACAGTGATCATAAATTGGTCATTTACGTTACTTGCGCGACCTCGTCGAATTGGGTGATGTGGTCCTGCGCTACTGTCCCACAAACGTCATGGCCGCCGACATCATGACCAAGCACGTGCCCATGCATCCTGCTACTAGTGATTGGCATCATGGGTATGGGAGGCTGGTGTGCGACTCACCGATAAGCCGCTCACTCACCATATGGTGGGGACGGCCAGCTGCATGGCAAGCTACCGTGTCCCTTTTATCTCAAACAATGCATCATCTCACAAGTAGATAGATATACAGTGATGGAAGAAAGGTTAAGACACAAGATAATTACTTTCGTTCATACCGAAGGAAGTGAAGTGAGGCTCTTTGATTTTGGAATTGGTCCCAACAAATAGGTTAAAGTGGATATGCATACTCATTTGCGGCAGAAATGACGATGACTTCTAGCTATATAAAAATTCTTAGTGTCAAACCTGGTATTCAGAATAGGACATTTCACAAAGAATGGGTTTTGAAGACTTAAACTTGCAGCAACACACCCTAGTAAGGTGTCATTGCACCATTGGCCTCTACGACAGCTACACAACGTCGTGGCATCGACTCGACCAGTCGTTTCATGAGCCATACGTCCAGCTTTGCCCACTCCACCTTGATCGAGGCAGTCAGGTCTTCCACGCTATGGTATTGCTTGCCACCGTGGTAGACACCGCGCACAAGCATTCCCCACGGGTTTTCCATCGGGTTGAGGTCCGGAGACAGGGCTGGATGGTCAAAAAGGATAACATTTTCGCCTCTCAAAAAATCCATGGTCTTCTTCGACCGATGGATTGACACGCCATCTTGCATGAAGTTGATTTCATCGCCGTAGAGACAGCGAGCAAAGGGGAAGAGATAGTCTTGAAGCGTCCAGATGTACTTGTCTGAGTCTTGGTTGTCTTCCAAGAACGCTCGCTCGCTCCTTCGCTCGAAAACCCCCCCCAGACCATCACACATCTCCCTCCAAATTTGCGCGAGAAGTACGTTTCCATCTCGTGGCGAATGTCACGCCAGTACGACTGCATACCGTCTGGGCCATCAAGGTTAAATTTCTTCTCATCTGACCATATAATGGTCGACCAGTTGGTGGCATGGGTAAGGCGGGCGCGAATGTGGTCATCCGTCAGCGTGGGAGTGACGTTAAGCTTGACGTATTCGAACCGAATGCTTGCTTGTAGCATGTAGCGTACGTAGCGAGACGACACAGGCAATTGAAGATCTTGAACAATCGATTTGGATGATGCACCTGGCTTACTCGCGGCCCTAAAAATGTGCCGAGTGTCATTTACCGTCAATTTCGACTTCCTCCCGTGCCCATAACGCTTGCCATAGTTGTCAGGGTCCTTGAGGTAGTTGGAAATGGCTGCGCGGGAAACGCCAAGGCTCTTGGACATGAATATCACTGTTTCGCCGTTGGACTTCCACACGACAATTTGACCGCGCTGAAACTCGTTGAGTTGAGGTCCACGGCCCATTTGACGTACGCGAGGTGTTGTGTAGAGCTGTTTAGAGGAAGTGGTTCAAATCGATGGTGATTATAAGCATTATTACGTCCTCTAGAGGACGTTAACTGAAATGTCCTATCCTGACTTCCATACTACTGTAGAAAGCTTAGCCACCGTCTCTACCTCACAATGCGGCAAAACAGCAACCGGCTCGTACTGTTATCTTGTCAACAGATGTTGACGCTGCGACAGAGCTATTTTTCGAGCCGAACAGCGCACAAAGACGCGAGTAAAGTCTAAATTGGGGTGTGTAACTGCCATGATGTGACGGGCGGTGTGTACAAAGTCTAGTAACATATTCACCGCAACATGCTGTTTTGCGATTACTAGCGTTTAAGGGTAAAGGACTATTATTAAAAAATGAAATAATTAAACTAAAAGAAGGGAAAAAAAGTAAAAAATAATAAATGATCAATAAAAAATTAAAAATTAAAAAAATACAAAAAGAATTTATATTAAAGTTATTAATGAGTGCTTTAACTTCTATTTTATTTTTAGGTGGCTGGTTAGCCCCTTTTTATTTAAATTTTATACCAAGTTCTTTTTGGTTATTATTTCGTCGATAAACACTTAAATAAAAAGGTACTCTTTCTCCCGAAGTTACAGAGTCATTTTGCCGAGTTCCTTCAACATAATTATCTCATACACCTTAGGTCTTAACCTTTCTTCCATCACTGTACCTTGTTTGATCTTACATAATAAACTCACTTTTGCTTTCCTTTTCCCATCTTCTGCTCAGTCATCTCCTCTTCTTGACGCCCTGCATCGCATCAAGCTTCCACATTTGCCAGTAGAACACTCGCACATGTGGATATTTCCGACATGAAGTATGTAAATTTGCGGTTTGAAGGATTTCAACTGAAGTATCGGTGCCCTAATGGTCTAGCGGTATGATTCCTGCTTCGGGTGCAGGAGGTCCCGGGTTCGATCCCCGGTTCCCGGGTTCGATCCCCGGTTGGGGCCGCACTTTTATATATTTTTGTCTTCTTTCGCGTTGGATTTGCTACTCGCCTACTTTTTAAGGGGAGGGAAAATAGCTCAGTGGAAGAGCATCGGTTTCTTAACTCAAAGTTCGCGGTTCGATCCCCGGTTTCCACGGATTATTTCCGCAAGGATTTATCCGTCCCTCCCCTGGGGAATCCAGATAACAAGAGTGCGTACGAAGACGAGGACCGAATTTCGAAGAAGCTCGGTCGAAGCACGAGGTATGAAGCGTTGAGCGAAGTAAAAACCGAAGATTACACTCCGCCCTTGGTCGAGCAGGCGCGTTACAATTGACGAAGCGGTTCCATAACATGTGGTTCTAGTATCGGCCCTCGCAGAGGAATGTCTTAAAAATGATAATCCAAACTCAATTAATCGCCTCCTTTTTAATCCAATGAGGTTCCATGAACTTGGCGGTGCGAAAGAACACGTATTCATGGAGTACGATTTCACTCAAAAATACGGATGAAATACAGTTATATACCTCGTAAACGTGAAGCGCCGTTAGTCTAATGGTTAGGATTTCTCCCTTCCAAGAAGAAGGTCGGGGTTCAATTCCCCGACGGCGCAATACTTTTTTTACCCATCATTGCGTATTTTCACCACCATCAATTCACAACTTACAGTTAGTGCATGATGTTCTCAGTGCATGATGTTCGTAGTTCATGATGTTGTCCGCTGATTTTTGGAAGCCGCCGACGGTATACTGAACGGCATGGCCTGAATTAACGAGTGACTACGTCACAATATACCATATTTATCGTGATAGCATTTACCCAGCTCCTCATCCAATATCACCACGTTTAGTTGTATCTCATTATTTGATCATGAATAGGCAAACGTGTTACGAACTGATCAATTTAGCCAATTTCTATGGCCGCGTTTTATTTGCCAAGAGTATTCAAATCTTACTTCCTCGCCGAAAATTCTACTGTCCATCGATTAAGTCACCTCTATCTCTAACTTCATCTCGGATTTCACCCACAACAACATTCTTCCCGGTATTCAAATATACACTTCATTCGTTGCTTAAACACACCACGCGTCGCCCACTATCATTCAGTGAAATATTTCCACTGAGGTATCGGAACTTTTGACTCTGCACACCCAGGAGTGTGTGTGTTAGCAATGTGCCAAGTAGTGTGGAACCCATTTTGCTACGACCATCACGTGATCACGTCAGACAAATGTTAGGATTTTCCTAACAGTCGTAAACACACACAACACACACAGATGCAGTTATAGTGGCTCAAAGGAAGTGATTCAGAAGTGAGCTTAGCTCTAGAACCTCCATGATTATCATCGCCAAAGTCATGCATACATGTAAGTAGTGCAAACTCATTGAAGTTTGCCATGTCTCTCAACATGGGCAACCTTCAAGTAGTGTGTGTAGGATCAAAACAAGGTAGCTATTGGCCCTCGACACACAAAAGTGGTTTAGGGATGTGAAGCCAGGAGCGCTTCCAGCTTCAATCTCATATTTATAACTTTATATAACTTCAATCCTTGTCTGTCTATGGTTAACATTTCTCCATTCCAAACGACTTCGCCCCAGCCATTTCAACATGCAGGAATGCAGGGTGGAAGCAATCGGAAGATTAGCTTTTTATCGTGGTGAGGACACCGGGTCACGGATGAAAGCTGCCAAGGACGCATACACATCAGCGTGCACCGAATGGTCCCAAGAGTGCCACGACAGCGGCTTCGATCGCCACGCAAACACCCACGAAATCCAGTCTGGTTGCTTCCTCCGAAAGGTACCAGTCGTCAAAGTCCCTATTACATCGGCCACGAGCGACAACACGACAACGACAGACCGCACGGAGGTCGTACGTATCTTTACTGATCATTGGCGCTCAATTATGCGTACCCCTGACTCGCATATTCCCCTGTCAAGCCTCCCGCCACCACGTGCTCGCCCACATTACAAACGCATGTGTGACGCCCAGCGCGAATCATTGGACACCCCCTTCACGTCCACAGAGCTCGTGGCTGCCCTGCGGACCATGAACCCCAACAAGGCCACAGGTGCCGACGGCTGGCCGGCTATCTTCTTCTTGGTAGCTCCCGCCATCTTTTCCGAAATGTTGGTGCGTGTTTTTAACCACCAACGCTCGTACGGCATTCTCCTCCACCACCAGCGCCAGTGTTCTTACTCTTTTCTACAAGAAGGGAACTACCGCCCAATTTCCATAATGCCAATGAGAGTCAAAATCCTCACACGGGCGCTGGCCTTTCGCCTCCAAGGTGTGGCTCCTGCCCTCATCGACCCTGCTCAGGCGGGTTTTGTCAAGGACTGCCGCATGAGCGACATATCCACCTCATTCATGCCCTCCAACACAAAGGTACTCAGCTTGGTGCTGAGTGGTATGCCACCTTCTTGGATTTTGCCAAGGCGTACGATCTTGTAGACCAGCCGTCTTTGTTCGACGCCATGCGCACAATGAATATCGGCCCTGCATTTCTCTGATGGATGCACCTGGTATGTAGCGACGTCACTCCAGTGGCGTCATAGGGTTATCGACCAATCAGAACAGACGTCACTGTTGACGTCAGTTTACGACCAAGCTCGATTGGCGTGCGGCGTGCTCGGCCATGGACACCAGAAGTTCCTTCTGCAGAGCGCACGTATGTATAGCATTAGATATAGTATAGTCAGAGTAGTCATGCATGTAGATGTAGATAACGCCAATCAATCAGTTTTACAATTTCCTCTGCGTTATCAACTCCCTACAGTTGGTAGCACTCACGGTTGACAACAAGGACTTACTTCCAGGGGCATAGCTCGTAGGTTGTAAGGTTACTCTATCTAGCTCAGGCGAAGGTTCAGTTGCGACCTTTCACGGCGGCTAGTGTTGAGTTAGTGATCGCTCAGGTGTTCTTTTATTACGACGGCACTCTCCTTAGTATCCGGCATCAGGGTCGGTAGAGGTTGAGTCGACAGTTAATAAAGACATTTGTTGCGTGTGAAGTTTATTGTCACCGGACCCCCATTTTATGGGCAAGAACAAGGCGGCGGCGGAGAAGAAGCTCAAGAAGGCGGCGGCGGAAAAGAAGCTCAAGAAGGCGGCGAAAGAAGCGGTTGCGAGTGGACGCGAAATCAAGCGCGAGCGAAACGATCTTAAGCGAAAGGCTAATCAAGTACCTGACCGTCTAGTTTCGTTTAAGACTATCCATTATCTCGACGAGCCTGACGTTGAGAATTTGGACGCGATAAGAAAGAGCCTCATCGAGAAGCTCCAAGCAACCCAGCTAGTCAACGAGCGTTTCAAGCGGGATCTGGTCCGACTTAACGGGACAGTCGGAAGTATCCGGATTAAGTGTGTTTTGGACAAAATCGTTGAAGTCCAGACAAATTTGGCCGTTGCGTCAAGTTTTTTGGCAGAAGAAATCAACAGCGCACTTTTGCCAAAACCGGTTCCGGTCGTAGAGAAGAAACCGAAGCTCAGCGAACAAGAAGAGTTGGCCGAGTTTTTTGCTAATCCTTAATCAAGTACTTCTTTTTTCTACAATATGGAGGAAGCGTTTGTGCGTATGATGGGTGCGATGGAGCAGCAGCAGAAGATGATCAATCAGCTGTTAGAAGCTCAAGCACAGACGCACACACAAATGATGAGGGACCAGCAAGCGCATCAAGAGCAGCAGTTGCTTTTACATCAACAGTTGCAGGATGCAATGAACCAACTAGCGAACCAACAACCGGTCGAACAGCAACGGGACACGGAACGACGAGTAGAAGGACTGTCTATGCCTGCATACCATGGGCACCTTAATGAAAGCATTGGGCTGTACATTCACCGTGTGAAGACCTTTTTCATGGCAAAGAACTTGAACTACGAGCAAAACGAAGTGGTCGAAGCGCGCTGTCTTGCGATGGTTGTGGCGAACCTCCAAGGACAGGCTGCGGCTTGGTACCAGGAATTGGCTTCACGGCGAGTCAATGGTGGCTTCAGGACTCTTGTCGACTTCGAACAAGCACTGCGTGAGGAATTCGAGCCTGATGATCTCCAAGAGCGC